CACATTGTAATTCTTGTTGCACATTATTAATTGTACTGTGAACCCAAATACTAGGAATGTTTATTGCATTTGTACAAAAGTTGTTTTAATTCTGTCTTTCAGACCCCAGTGAAATTTTCACTGCTACAAAAAAATCGTAAAATTTCACAAATTTTTCTGTTCAAAATGAAAGTGGTTCACGGTAATCCTAGTAGAGCAGTAACATAATAAAGTTAAATGTTTCTTGATGTAATCATCGAATACACTGTAATTCTCTAGTTCACTTGTGTAGTATGAAAATAGAAATTCATGGTCAGTCATTGATGTTGACAGTTAAATAAAAGCATGAATTGAAATCTTTAAAAAATAACAATGAAACACTTTTTCTGTGTTCATGATTTTATAAGATAAGGATATAGAACTTCAAAGTTTGTGTACATTGATTTGCGATCTCACCATTTCCCAAGGTGACACATTTTAACCAATGATATCACAGAATACTATAAATAATTTTTCGATTATTACAAATATTACTGAGATTATCATTGTATTCCAACAATAAAAAAAACATGTGTATCACACTTTGTAAAAAACGAGGATATAGTCAAAAAGCCAAAACGAACACTAATCATTTCGTTCACACACTCATTTGCATTTTGAGTATTTCGAGTATCTTCTTGTGATCATCTTACAATTCTCATTAGATTGTCATCGTGATAACGTCATGTCTTTATCTTATAAATCGTTGATGATATCTATTTAACAACAGTGACAACACTTTATATGTGTTCTTTATTGTCACCAAATGCATGTAGTGTTATTCAATGATAACCACTGTGATAAAAACTTGATAGCGTAGCAGTTAAATTTATTGCACTTGAATTAAACTATCCTGAGACAATGCATGGTGCTATCAATTAATATAGCCTACAAAGAAAACTTAATTGGTATTTTAGTTTGGATAAGTATTTCAAAATGACCAACTGTTTTCTTTCTTACCAAATGGAATCTGATGTATGGTTACCATATGAAGCACATATGTGATGACAACTCATTCCGGCTCACTTTTACTACTTCGTGTGGGGTAACATTTTATGTTTTTTGAGCAATTTGTTAAGTTCATTAGAAAATTGCAATTATTGATGATACTGATGCTTAGTGACAAACTTATCAGTATATTTAAATGTCGGTTTTCATATTTTGAATTATCAAAACTAAATGTGAATTGTTGATGTCTTTTTTTTTTGGTACAATATCTTATTTGACAATTGATAGAGTAAAATAAAAAACAAGCTGGAAATTGTATGAGAATTCAATAATAATTTGACCAGAGAAATAACATTTTTTTTTAATTGTGAAAACAATCTCATCTCTCTTTCACTGTGACTAATTCTTATCATAATCACACAAAATTTAGGGTTAGGGGTTTTGAGAACCAACTGTTCAAAGTCAAGTGTTCATTTTTTAGCTGATTATGGCAAATAAACAATTGTCTATTATTTCTGTATTTTTTTAGCTGATTACTCCAAATCACCCCTCCTTTTTTGTTATTTCTGTATGTATTAAATCTATTTGTTTGCCTGTTCTGACTGTCTATAAATAAATTAAACAGACTGTGACGATATTTTATATATTTTTGAGTGATTATAATAACATTGACATTTCTCTTTGTCACTTTTTCTTCAATACAATTAATTGATTGGTACATGTGTTAATAATTTCTAATTCATATCAAAAAAAGATTGAATGAGAATTCATTATTGAAACAACAAATTTATTTATAATATAAATATTATTTATAAAAGTTATGGATATATTGTCTATTTATTGAAAGTATATATTGATTATTTTGCAGTATTGTTACATGTAGTAATTAACAGACACAGTTTGAAGTGTGATAAATTAAGAAATAATTCAGCAATAGATTGTATATAACTGCTCTATAACATGACAATCACTGTTACAAATCAAAATGATGCTGAAATTCAGATACTTGCACATAATTAAAATTTTCATGGTGGTTCTTGAATTTTATGACATTATCGGTATTTTCCAAAATTTGAAGGTTTTTCTGTTTTATAAGGTGTACCACCTGTTGCCACTCATCCATTCAATGAACTATGTCACATGACTTGAATATTTTCACAGTTAACAGATAACTATTATACTATAATCCTTTTTTGGACTACTAATAGGATTTAGATTAAAATGTCACAAAAAAACTACATTTCTACATTTGCAGGCTTTGTTAATCAAATTACACGGCTCTTTTTAACTTTCTAAATAGTCTGCAATTTTTTTCTCCGTCTTTTTTCAGTATAAAATTCTGTAATCAGCGTTTATATGTTAAACACAATTTTACTCTGATATATATGAACAAGGCTTCTCTTTCATTTTGTTGCTCTAATCACCATGAAGCTGAAATTAGCTTTATATTTGTAGTCTGAACATTCTATCTTTTCATTTATTTTGTTAGTTTAAGGCTCAAAAATAACTAATTTAAATATAAAATATTCAATAAATGTAATTTACATGTCATGTTTAGAAATTAATCAGATGCGATGACATATTGTGATAGAAATCAAAGTTAAGTTTTAATATGACTTAAGAAAGGAATATGCTTAGTGACACAGTTGTTGATACATGTGGGTCCCATGCAACATATAAAATATATGTGAAATACTTTAATAATGAAAATATAAAAAGAAGACATTTATAAGAATGATACTGGTAGGTATGTTGTCAATGAGTATAAATATGAGACAATTATTACATATATCCTACCATATACTCTACTAGTAGAGTGACTGTGATATATCATACAATGAAAACACAAAAAAACGCATTCAAATAGACGTCTTCTGTATTTGAAGAATGTGTGTCACATTCAAAGGGTTTTCTTTGTTTACATCAGACATAGTAGTGGCTGAAATCAAATCTCACCCCATGAACACCAATGATTATACCGAAACACCAATCTCAAAAAACGCTGCCATTTCTGGTTGTTCATGAGAATATCGCAAAATATACACTATTCCTGACTTTACGAATCTTACACCAGAAATAAATTCATAAAAATAATGTCAAATAATAACTTAACAATTCTTCTGGCACAATATCTGAAATACAGCTTTGTTATTAGACAGCAGCACCTACTTAGTCATTGACTTTTTTTTTAATACCTATTATGTGTTCATTGGGTTCTCGTTTTTATATTCAGTTTATAGTTTTTTGTTGGTGTTTAATTTAATTTTATTATATATTTCCTTTACTATCTTCAATTTAGTCTGTTTTTGGTTGTCTTTTAAACTATTAGCCATTGTAATTTGATTAATTTTTATCTGTAATTTGTTGTTGTTGTTGTTGTTGTTGTTGTTGTTGTTGTTGTTGTTGTTGTTGTTGTTGTTGTTGTTGTTGTAACCTTTAACCTCCTTCAGTAGGTTGTTACGAGTTAATAGAAATTGATTGTGACTGTGCATCGGTCAAAACTATCGATAATATTTTACTGTTCTTGTCTATTTTTACAATAACTTATAACAACTAAGAATCTTAAGAATGAAAAAAAGAGAGAAACAATGCTTCGATCCAATCTTAGATTCATTGTTCACCTTAAAGCTATTTTTGCCATGGTAACAAGCAAATATTATTTAACAAAAATGGGATTAGGTTGAGCTAGAGGGCGTACACTGGTGAATCATAGAGCTATGTAATTTCATGTCATCAGAATTGGTTTTGGATATTTGAGGGTACTTGATCAGTTTTTTAGCTCCGCTGTCGACTTTGTCGAGCGGAGCTTATCATATGAGTGATTGTCCGTCGGCGTCCGTCGTCCGTGTCAATGTTTTACTTTTTCTACTTCTTGAAAACTACAGGCCTGAATGCTTTGATATTACATATATAGATACTACATGTAGACCTTTCTCAGATTTGTTCATTTCGTGATGATATCTTCAATTCTCTAATTTTGGTGAATATTTTTGTAATTTTTGGTAAAAAGTGATATTTTTGACTTCTTGTTAAAAACCGCTAGTCCAATTGCTTTTATATTACATATATAGGTACTACATGTGGATCTCTCT